AGCTTCCTGTTCACCACGGCCATTCTGCACGCACAGCCTCTAATTCTCATTCTCTCTCTTCTTTCCCATTGGCCTTGTTGCTTTTTTATTTTGGGGGGATGGCGGATGCACTGGCCGGTCCTGGCCTCTCCCCCTGCCCTGCCATCCTGACTCCTCCTCCTGTCTGCCATCCGCGCTGGGCTGGACCACGCTCTCCCCACTCCTGGTGAATGGCTGTGGGCACTCCCAGCCGCTGGCGGAGCCGCTACTACGGGAAAGGACGTTACGGCCACCCTGACTTTAAGAACTCCTGCCCAGTTCTGGAGGAATAGTGTGTTGCTATCGTTTCTCTTGGTCCCCGCCTGTGTGTGGCTGCCCCTTTGTACCCCTTCTTCCTGTCTCTACATCCGGCCTTCTGCATCTCGGCTTCTCCTAACCGTGTCGTTGTGTCCCCATAATCCAAAGTGACATCCCGCAGCTGAAATGGCCTCCAGCCAGGGCCCTGCAGACTTGTTTCCTCCCAGTGGAAGAAAGAGCCCCACTGCGCGTGGCCTGTCCCTGGGTGGGAGAGAGCTTGGATCACTGACCTCAGCTCCCAGGGCCCCTCCTCTGGCCAGAGGTCAACAAAAGGGAATCCAGTGAGCGAAAGTGGTCAACGCCAAGGTGTCAGTTTTGATAGTCAAGGGCTAAGAAGCCTCTATGGACCTGGCCTAGGACAGTGCCCTGGGACAGTTGAGGAAAGACTCCTTGTGGCCAGGGTCACTTCAAGGCTTGCCCTGCTGCCGGCCTGAGGGATGGAGTCGGAGGGGTCCCTTTCTCTGCAGGGAGGAGGATCCCCTGTCCGGCTGCCCTGGGGGTCAGCTCCCTGTGGGCTCTGGTTCTGACCTGCTCTCCCTCTTCTCTGTCCTCTAGGTTGTAGGCCTGGCTGACTTGCATGCCCAGGGCTTCCTTCCTCCTAATCGACCGCTGGCTCTGCGACACTTCTGCTAACACTCAAAACGCCCAGCGGGCACTAACCCAGGGGATACCATCTCTGCTGCTCCAACTTCTCTCTCCAGACTTGCTCTGTTTGTTTTTAAAACCAGCCCCCTTCCCTTTCCACGTGGCCTGTGTGTGCCTGGGTAACAGTTGGCGAGGATCGAGGATCTCACTAACCCGGCTCCCCCCTCGGGACGGCCCAGCAGCTTCTAGCCGCTCTCTTGGACGTGGTGACTCCTCCTCTTGTCCTTCAGAGGGCTGACTTGCTTCTGTCTGTCGGGTGGCCCTGTTCTCTTCTAACACCTGAATGAGCCTCCTGCTGACTGGTCACAGCACAGGGGCGGCGGGGTGCTTGGCTTCTAACCCGTGAGGATCCTGTCCTACAAGGAGTGGAATGACTTCAGAGCTGCCCCAAGACCAGCGCCAAGGAGTCCTCTCTAGGTTCCTGTGTCCTCTGTAGACTTGGGGCAGTAGACACTCAAAGTCCTGTTGCCTTGACAGACTCCTGCTCCAAAGAGCTGGGCCCTCAGCAACACACTCAGAAACGTTGTCCTAAAGCAGAGCGGAGCCTGTCTCCAAACAACTCCACTACCCAAAACAAAGCTGCTTCCCCAGCCCAACCCCACATCTTCTCCCTTCACATCTGCGGGGGGGCTGTATAGATGGACCCCAAGTCAGCATTCGTCGGGGTGGGGAAGACAGGCCACTGTGCTGCTCACTGAATGCAGATGGCCCCCACCCTCTGTGCAAAGCTGCTCTTTTTGGATCTCTAGAATGGGCCTCTGGGAGCCTTCACCTCAGTCTGCCTCCCAGGTGGCCCTAGTGGACCCAACATTTGGTCACCATTTGTAGAAGGAGCTTATGTGTCACTCCTGGTGCTGGGGCTTAGGTCTCTCTTCTTTCCCAATTCTGCGTGGACCAAGGGTGTTCTCGGGAAGCCAGTGAGGAGCTGTTCAAATGAGCCCACAGCGGTTACAGCGCACCCCAGGTACCAGGGAGTCAGAGGTGCATGAGCCACGTCGCTACCCCCAGGAGGGAAGCGTGGCCGAGGCCCAGGACGTGGGGGACCAGGGGCAGCTCTGCCAAGGCTATGGGCTGAGCAGTCATTGTCGCTCCTTGGTGGGGGCTGGGTCCTCTGCTAAGCTTCTGGAACTAGCCTGTTCTTTAACCAGCACCCCAGTGTTGGACAAGACCAGCAGGCCGTAACCCGTGTTTTTGTTCCTCTTCGCAGCATTAACAGCAGCAAAGTTGTACCCCGCTTTGAAAGGTTCGGCTTGGGCGCCCTGGAGTCCAGTAATCCAAAGATGTAGCCGGCCGTGCGGTTTTTCGACCACCCATTTCTTTCTTTTGCAAATGTGTTTCTAAAACACACCAACAACCACCACGACAGAAATAAATAAATAAATAAAAATCAAAACACTCCACCTGCCCAGCACTGCACACGAGGAACACGAGTCCTCCATTCAGACTGTTCGTCACCAAGACGCATGGGTCCTGGAGATGGAGCCACACACCTGCCATTTGAGATGACGCCACCCACAACCAGATCTGTCTGACTGACAGCGAATGTTTACACGTACGTCTCTGCGGAGCGGACTTGATGTTTTACAATAGGTAATAATAAACAGTCCATGTGTAGGGGTGCTGGCACCTTGGGGTGGCGGAAGTGGCTGTATCCCTTGTGGAGGACTTGAAACGGTGAGGGGCCCAGGGTTGGGCCAGAAGGAGGAAAAGCAATGTGATTATGGCTGTTCTGGGGGAGGCAGCCCATGGTATGACCTGGCCTCTGCCTTGGCCCTAACACCCATCCATAGGGAGTCTCCATCTGGGATTCCCCCTTTGTCCTATCAAAGGGACATTATCCCTTCCTCATTTTGCAGAGGAAACCCTGGCTGGGAACCAAGCTGGATTTACAAGTGTCAGGATTCCCTGAAGAACTTGGATAGACCCTGTGACTCCCTCTAATCCAGGCTGTTTCTGTTGCAAAAGTAAAGGCAGAACCCAAACAGCATCTGGGTGGTTCCTAGCCAGGGTTTCTGCTGCGTGAAGAAGAACTGTCCACTCACCGTGGAAATGTGGTTCTTGAAGCCCCCAGACAGGCACTTGTGGTTCTAGACACATCTGAATGTGTGACTGACATCTGACCCCAGGGCTAGGGCCAGCCTGGTAGCTGCACATGTCACGGGGAGTTGGTGAGTGAGAGTAAGGAATATGGTAAAGGGAGGGGGAAAGAGACAGCCAGTGGGGGCCTGAGCCCCGCTTTCTGGCCACAGGGTGACCCTGGCACTTTAGAAACCCATCCCATCCATTTTACTAGAAGGTTCCAGAACTGCCTGCCTCTTCCACCTCCCCAACCCTATTGAAACCCCTTCACCCATCCCCGACTCCTCTCTCCATGCTCAGAGCTGAGACGGGGGCATGAGGTGGTCCAGCCTTTCCAGTTAGACCCCCAGGGAGCCCCCACAGCTGCAGAACCCTCTCTGGCAACATCAGGCCTTTTGCTTGTATCCATTCAAACCAGCGGAGGAGGGGTGGGGGGACTGGATTTGGGAACGCCTTTGATGTGATTGACCCCCACTGTCCTCTGTAAAACTATCACAAAGAAAAGTGCCCAGTGGAAAAGAGGCCTTTAAGTGGAGGTTGGGTCTCATGCGGCTGCACAGACAGAGGAGAGACGAGGGAGATGGGGTGGAGATGCGACGGGATTGAGGCCTGGAACCTGTGCTTCGCTCTGAGCTCAGACAAGGGCAGCCATGTGGCTCCCACCTCTTTCAGTTAGGCCACCTAGCAGAGCCCCCGGTCTTCAGAGCCTTCCCTAGCACCAGAGTCAGGTCCTAATGTCACATAGGACAGGCTGCTCTGCTCCAGAAGCTGGGAAACTGCCTCCCTCTCTCCAGACCCTCCACCCCACCCTCTTTGGGAGTATGTGACAGTACAGTGGTGCAGAGTACCGTGGGACTGTGACATCCTTACCTTTTTTGGTCATTGTGGGCAGGAGAAAGAGGAACTGTAGGCCAGTTGGGGTCAGCTCTGTCATTGTGTCTGCCTCCCTGTGACTTCCCCACTTCAAAGCCATGTGGCCACTGCCTCTGTGGCTGCAGCATACCTATAGCACCCCAGAGGGGACTGCAGACCCCCCCAACCCTGTGCTGCCAAGGGCTGGTGGACAGCTGGGTGTGTCGGGCTCAGCTCCTCCCCATCCCCCTCAGAAAATCAATCTCCCTTTGTCTCGTGAATGTCAAGGTTCAGGGGGCTCTCCCGTGGTCTTGTGCAAGTGCTGGGGACCCAGAAGTAGGAACAGCCACAGTCCCTGTCTGAAGGAACTGACCGTCTTCCGGGAGCCTGGTATCTACCAGGAACCCAGAAGCCTCTTGGCCCTGATGGTAGGGCTAAGGTGCTGGGGGCCCTCTCCTTGCCCCCAAGGCCTGGACAGCCTCTGGCTCTCTGCCAGCCCCCTCGGCACTGCCTGTCGTTTAGAAAAATCCCCCACAATGGTCCCCCTTCTCCCTTTTTTTATTTAAGTGACTGTGAATTGAGGTTAGGAAGACGAGCTCACCCTTCTGTGTGCCCTCCCCGTCTGCCTTGGAAACGCATGAAGGATCAGATACTGTGAATTCAGTGCTCACGGCCCACTGTGAAAGGGATGGAGAAGGCCGAGGGCTCCCTGGGGCTGCAGAGGTCCCCACTGGGGTCTAAGAATGGAGCCCAAGAAGCTTTGGACCTTCCAGGCACCCCTAGTTCCCAGCCTGGCCTCCGAGGCCTTTAACCACCAGTCTCTAGTCTCCCCGGGTTTCTTTGTGACTCAAAGGTTGAATCCTGGCCAGTCCTGAGCAGCGTGTAGCAAAGTTGATCTCTCCATGTCACCAAATCAAAACACCCTGTGCCATCTCCTGGCATTTCTTTCTGTGGTCCCTGAAAGGAGTGAAAAGCCCTCTCAGGCTGTTGTTGTGGAATGACTTGGGGACACAGCGTTGCTCAGGATGTTTGTATGCACCTGGCGTCTTCCATGGCCACGAGGCACACATTTTACTTTTTTTTTTTTTTTTGAATGTGATGTAAAATTTGTACAGTAAAAGTTTTTATATTTTCTATCAATTGCGTTTGTCTTCCAAAAATGCTATTAATTTAAATTAAAATGGTTAGTATTAACAAATGTGCTGTCTCCACGTTTTGATTTTTCCCGTCTTTGTTTTGCCACTGGTAAGAACACACCCTCCGCGCTGAGCCAGCCCTACAGGTCTGCAGTTTGTGAGTGAAGTTATACAAGGAATCCTGGGGCTCCTGTGTGCTTTGATCAGTTCCAGATGAGAGTTGGGGACCTCTCGTATGATGGCATAGGGTGACAGGAATGGAAGGGTCAGGGGTGTTTAAACACCTCACACATCAAGGAGCTCCTTCTAAAGGAAGAGAGAAGACTTATGCTTGGACCTCAAGGGCAGGTGTCTCTGGAGAGGGAGGTGTCGAGGCCCCTGATGCACAAGGAGAATCACCCAACCCCACAGTTACAAGCTCTCAAGTAACCTGGACCCAGTACGTCTCCCCGGGGCCGAGGTGACCTTTACCTTATAGAAGCCTTGGATGAAGGGAGCAGCCTTTGTGTTCAGAGAGGTGCTTGGAAGCTTGGCGCAAGGAGAACAGGGAGAGGAGTGGAGGAACCATCATATGTGGGACCCCCACTCTGAGCTGGGGAGTTGTTCACTGAGCGTAATCATCCTTTATTCTAATCCTGATGACAGTGCCTTCAAGTAGGCATTGTGATATTTTCACTGGGCAAACAGGTGAAAGAAGGTAAGGTAGTCACCTGAGATCACACAGCTGTGGGCCAGCCAGTCCAAGTCTCGGCTTTGACCTCCTTCTTATCTGAAGTCAGGGAATTTACTAGCCAGATATTTATTGAGCTCCTAAGGTGTTCAAAAGATAGTGCTGGGCTGGGGTTGTAGCTCAGTGGCTGAGCACTCGCCTCACATGTGTGAGGCACTGGGTTCGATCCTCAGCACCACATACAAAAATAAATAAATACAAAAAGATATTGTGTCCATCTACAATTTAAAAAAAAAAATTTTAAAAAAAGAAAGTGCTAAGGGATGGAATGTTTTTCAGGACAGATCGTAGGATAGACCACAAAATTTAGTCTCAATAGATTTAAAAAGTTAGCAAAGTATTTTACCTGACCACATGGTATGAAGTGAGAAATCGATAACAGAAGACTGGAAAATTCACAGACTTGTAAAAATTAAAGAATATGCTCTTTTTCTTTAATATTTATTTTTTAATTGTAGTTGGACAAAATATCTTTATTTTACTTATTTTTATGTGGTGCTGAGGATCGAACCCAGGGCCCCACACATTGCTAGGTGAGTACTGCTAAGACCCGAGAACACACTCTTAACTAATGGATCAAGGAAGAAATCACAAGGGAAATTAGAAAATACTTGGAGATGAATGAAAATTAATACAAACATACCAAAATTGATACGATGCAGCAAAAATAGTGGTAAGAGGGAAATTTATAGCCATAAACACTTAAAGCAACCTAACTTTACAAATTAAGGAACCAGAAAAAAAGAAACTGGGTCAAAATTAGGGAAAGGAAATCAAGATTAGAACAGAGATATTAGAGAATAGAAAAATGTTTAGAGGACATCAATGAAACCAAAAGTTGGTTCTTTGAAAAGATCAACCAAAGTGGTAATCCTCTACGCTGGTGGGGGCAGGGGGAGAAGACTAAAATTAGTAATAAATGTGGAAACTACAGATTCTACAGAAATAAAAAGGAATATGAGGCAGTATCATGAGCAATTGTATGTCAATGAATTAGATAATAGATGAATTGGACAAATTCCTAGAAAGACAAAACCTATGAAGACTAAGTCACAAAGAAATATACATGTGATAGACCTATAACTAGTTAGGAGATGAGATCAGTAATCAAAAATCTCCAGGTAGGGCCGGGGTTGTGGCTCAGCAGTAGAGCGCTCGCCTAGAACATGCAAGACCCTGGGTTCGATTCATCACCACATAAAAATAAATTTTAAAAAGGTATTGTGTCCAACTACAACTAAAAAATAAATATTAAACCAGGTAAAAGTTTTGGACCTCATATCTTAGCCTGTGAATTCTTCCAAACATTTAAAAGGCTAATGCCTATGCTTCTCAGTTTTTTTTTAAAACTGAAGAGTAGGAAATAATAACATATTTTGTAAAGCTACCATTACTCTCATATAAAGCCCATACCAAAAAAGAAAAAAGAATAGTCCAGTATTCTTTATGAAAATTGACACAAAAATTCTCAAAATACTAACAAGCCAAATTTAGCATGCTAAAAGTTGAGTCACCATGACCACATGGGGTTTATTTCTGGAATCCAATAAAATTTGGTCAGTGTAATATACCACACTAACAGAATGAAAGAAAAAAAAACACATGATCATCTTATCATAGAAAAAGAGCATTTGGCAAATTTCAAAACCTTTTTACTATAGAAATAATGTAAGAATAAAAGGAAACAACTTCAACATAATGAAGTCATATTTAGAAACCCACAGAAAAAGGGCTGGGTGCTTGCCTCGAATGCACAAGGCCCTGGGTTTAATCCCCAACACCACAAAACAAAACAAAAAAACAGAATTCTCACTGGTGAATAACTAG